AAGCAAAATGAAAGCAACCAAGAGCTAGAATTGCAAAACTATTGCCCCTTGTGTTGAAAAAGAGACACACAAGGAAAACCACAAACTGACACAGCTTATCTTTTGTTTCCAACAAGAAGAGCAACAGATTTCCCTATAAACCCAACCCTTCAGCTCTAGCTGAGCAGCATCAGCTTCTTTCCCTCTGTAACAAACTTCCCCATTCCGTTCCTTGTTCAGCCCCGCTTCATTTTTTTGTGAGGCCTCTATCTTGTTTCTTACCTTTCCATTCCCCCCAGCTTTTCCTCTGAAGCAGCTGTGCTCTCTATAGCTGGCATCTTCAGAATTCAGATGGCTCTTAGGATCCTTTGCATCAAGTGTCAAAGCCATTCTTTGAAATACTATGAAAGCCAGACGATCCTTGAACTAATCTGAACCTCAAAGGTTGTGACTATATCGGTCACCAAGACAGTGCATCACTACATCCCAGGGACAGACAGAAGCCAAGGTAAAACACAAAAAAAACACCCCAAAATAAAACACACACACACACACAGAGAAAAAGAGGTAGGGAACATGGTGAGAACAGAAAAGAGAGAAGAAAGAAGAGGTGAAGAAAAACAGCAACAGCACAGACCCCTGCCTAAAAAAATATATCTGGTCATATTTTGCAAGATCCTTTTTGATTCACACTAACAGAATACTGAACGTATGAACCTGTACTCAAAATAACAAAGCTGAAGTTCACCATCTGTGCTATTTTGTTAGAGAAAGTTAAAAGAGCAACAATCAGCATTTTATTCCTGGTTTGTATTTTACATATGGATCTTGTACTCATGTTATGCAATGAAGCTATAGGAAGACAAATCACAATGGGCCACTCRTTATTTATTAGGTTGTCTGTATCACCCCATTCACTACAGAAATAATTCTTTAACCAAAAAAAAAAAAAAAGTTTTATTTTCAGAAGTGGAGTAAGTATCTTACGTATTACTTCTTATTTAACGGCCTTTTTTAGTTTTGATCGGCTTGTAAGCCAGAGACTCCAWCAAATAGTTTTACCTGCCTAAAGTCCACAGAAATTGAAATTTGGAGGATATGTTTTGGTTTTCATGGTTAAAATTACTATGTTGTGTTTATATACTATTTAAAAACAAAATAGGTCTGCATTTCCTGCTAAGTATTAATGGACGAATACAGAGGTCTCTCCTGCTCCCTATAATTRCTTCAGGTTTCTCAGACTGAGAAATCGAGATTTTTCTATTTCCTTTTTCAAATGTCAGCATATATTYTTCCCTCCCCCTCATTCCCTGCCTCCAAAAGACTCCTTTTTTTCCATACAAGTTTATGCCCTAATAAGAAAGCCGGACATACTAGGGAGGACAGAGATGACAGAGTATCAAAACACACAATCCCCTCTTTGTTAGCCATGCAGAAAGACTTTAAAAAAAAAAAAAAACAGGATGAAGACTGAAAACAATAGAAGGACCTTTATAAACAGGGAACAGAACAGAAAGATGCAAGACATCCAATGAGATCTTTAAAATGGATCAGTAAAGCAAGTAAAATACACTTGGGCACACCTCTGTTATGCAAAAAGCTCCCCACACACAACCAAAATTAAGGATCCTCATAACATACATTCAGAAAACCCATAATCTCAGAGCCCAACAAGCAGCAATTTGGGCAGATAATTTTTTCCTTCTCCCCTCATATTCAATCACAATTATAGCACCTCCGCATAGAGCAATTTCCCCCATCCTTTCCCACTAAACAAAACCTTCAGCATTAACACAACCAGGGACTGCATACCCTGGATGCACACACACAGTAACCAACCCTGAGCTCCTTCACWCCTCCTACCTGTGTGTTAGAACAGTTCAGCCATGCAGTTATACAAGGAGTGGTCAGAAACTACTCTTCACACAAGAGTCCATCCTGACTGGGATTTGAGTAACAGCACCAAGCACTGCCAATGGGGAGGGGAAAGTTCATTCATGAATTCTTCTATTTCTTCCTGGTTGAGGTTAGACATGTCATGGACATGACTGGCCCCTACACAAACAAACATCTGCACCACTGGAAGCAGAGCTTCCTTTAAGCGACTGACTTAAGAGAATTGCCAAAAGCTCTTGGCTAGGCAGCAATGCTCAATTTCATTTCTCCATTTGTATTTTTAATCTTGGAAACAAAAACATAAATGTAAAGCATGCTGACAGAAAAAACCAACCCCACGGTTCTAGAAAGCCCTGCTACTTCCCTGCCAGGCCAAAACACCTGCTCCTGCTAATGATGGCTTTATGCTTACTTACACCTGCTATCCAGAAGGGCTCCAGAGCACTTTGCAGCCTGAGTTACACATACACAAATCATTAAAACCACCAAAATGAAGCCACTGCTGAGGTGAGATGTAGCAACTGTTTAACTGCACACAGCCATGCTGTTCAACTGCTCAGGACAGGAACTAAGAGTCATCATATCCAACCAAAGCTATGRGGAACGTTAGGTTAAGAGAACATCATTGCCCAATCTGGATTTCAGCCAGTCACTACCTAAAATATTTGCATGTGGAAAGCCCTGGGATCTTTAAAGAAYACATGCAGTGCAACCTTTGGTTTTAGAAATGATCCAAAAGACAAACAAAATATATATATGTTTCCTATATCTGAAATCCCCCCTTTAGTCCCTCCCTGCACTAATTATTGTTTATGCCTTGACTTCAGAAGTGCACCGTATCAGACATCAGTTTTGGAAAYATCCTGTGGTTGAAGCACTTGATCTAGCAGAGCCAGCAAACTGATAGTGTCTGACAATAAATGTAGATTATTAAAAAAGAAAAGATGCTTAACGAAACACACGCGCATAGAGTGGATCAGTTACTCACCAGCAAAGACACAGCCAGAAAGAGCTGAATTTGTCAACCCATCCCTAAACAGCTACAAAAACCAAGAGAGTCCCAGAGCTGACTCACTGACAGGCTGAGAAGATTGCTTTCTAAAAACCTCCTCGCAAGGACAACGCCRAATTAACAGTAGCGAAGTCAGTGGAGTGGAATGAAATAGGTGTCATCACACAYACCGAGAGGGCAAAAAGGCATTGGGAAACAGGTTAAAAAGATTAGGAAACCCAGCATCCAAAAAAACGCCAAGATACGTTTAACTRTTTGGGAGTTCAGGCACAAATCTGCAGCATCAAATATGCAGAACATGCACAGTAACATTTTGAAAATGGAAATGTGTTCAGCACATAATCTCATCATAATATTATCAGCAAATCATCAGAGATAATAATCTGTTTCTCTAAGGCAATTTTAAAACAACAAAAAAAAATCAGATTGGGAGATATGGACATCTTTTACTAAGACCTCCTCCAGAGGTCTCCTTACTTGAAAGCAGCTTTAACGTAATCCTAGAAACAACAGAAATTCAGTTCCCAAAAGTAAACACAGATAAACCTGAAATATTACCTGATTGTTTCGAAGTTTCAGACACATCTGCCTCTGAATCATCCTGACAATACCTTTTTCATACTATTTAAAATGAAAGTTTCTCCCTCCGATTTTTGTACAGTGCTCCTCAAAATAACACTTTTTTAAAATTACAGGTAAGTGCAGAAGAATTGCAACAACAGATAGTTAAAAACTCTCAGCCTAAAAATATTGTTTAAAGCTAAAAAAAAGCTTCTCTGATTTGAAGAGTTTCTAGATTCAYAAATGGGAATGGGAAGTGTTATTTTGTGTTTCTTTCTCCTATTTAATCCAAACACAGAATAGTTCTCAAATACTCTATCAGAACAAGGCAGCCTAGGTACACCAGAATTACTGAATGAGCTAYTTAAGCTAATGAGCACAAAGGTGTTTCCAACTGAAATAAACCGGAAMAAAAAAAAAAAAAAATCCTCCCCCTGCCAAAAATTGAACAAAACATTTGTAGAGCAAGCATCAATCTGSTACTACACTGCATATCCAGTTGGTAGAAATACATGCTTCCACCCTTTTAAAATACATATTATCAACATGTTTTCTGAATTCCTAGAAATTTCTTATTGTTAATGAAGAACCATCAGCCTTTACCAAGGTTATAATAACGTATTTCAAATTTCTTCCATAAATAATTACACTACACCTTTGCACCTTCAGGCAAGTTGTTGCAAACCCTCTAGAAAAATCCTGAGTCTGCAGAACCATGTAAGCTTCCCTATTCCTGGAGCACACAGAATCTGTTTTTGGTCCAAAAAAATGACACTATCATGGAAAGTACCTAACACGGCTCTCTCCTTTCCAAGAAACAGTAGTAGAATACAAAGAAACAGGTAAGTCAAGCACCATATAGGATCAATGCTGTGGTACTTGAAAATTAACACTTCCCAAAAAGCGAACCAACTCACTGTTTYAGGAAGAAAGCATGTAAAAAGGCAAAAAGTGCAATGATACCTGTGACATTTTTCCATTTTGCCACTCTGTCAAGAATAAAGACTTTTCATAAAAATCAATCATGAGCGGTACTACCAAACTGCACACTGCAAAAACTCAAGGCTATTCTTCCTGTCCAGGACACTGGTACCAACAGGAGTTGAGACACAAACAGGAGCAAATTCTCTAGCAAGTCTCTTTAACAACACAGCACTATTCACAGAATACAGGCACATTTTTCACTGTTCAAAATATTCACCTAAATTCTCCCTTCTAATAGAAAAAGAAAAGCTACAGACCTACATAAAAACCAAAATTATTTACTACGGTTTAACCTCTAACAATCTAAGTAGCATCTCCCTCAGTTGCAACCTTTATCATAATTTTCAAAGCCATTGACACCAGTTCTTGGTGAACACACACACACACACACACACACACACACACAAGAAAACGCCTTTGCATGCATTTTCTAAGCCTTGAAAGAAAGTAGGCATGCTCCCTATATGCTGTTTCCCACTAGGATGAATGGGAAGATAATGGATTATTTAAAGACATGCTGCTCAACATTAGACAGACAGAGACTGTCCAGAAAGGAAGAATCACTTACCTCGTTTGTGAAGCCAGCCTTCCTTCACTATCGCTACTTCATTCATAATGGCAGGAATGTCTCTTGAAAAACCAGTTTATGCCAAAAGATCACTGTTGAAATTCTTGAACTCCAGCAGAAGGCTCCACAAAAGGAATAGGGTTTTTTCTCCGTTTTCCTCCTTCCCAGTTATTTCTAAAAGAACCAAAAGAAGAATACRCCATCATCTCAAAGCATCTCACAGATGTACAGCAAGGGATACAGCAGGGAGTAGCTTTGATTGCTGGGTTGTTACTTTGGGATTTTTTCATTTTATTATTATTACAAATCTTAAATAAGTGCTTAGCTCTCCACAAGAATTTTTCTATCTTGGTGGGTGGAGGAGTCAAAATATGGGCTTGCTGAAGTCCTGCTTTTTCACTGAGTAGGCTGATGATGGGCAGACTCACACCACTATCAGATGCTGTTTGAATTACAGGTGGATTCAAGATCTTACCTACCAGACCTTCACTGCTGCAACACCATCTCATTCTTTGCAACAATTAAAAATCTGAAATATCACAAAATCCAGCTTTCAATGTTTCTTGGTAAGGAAGATTTCCAGAACAGCTCCTGGAAGGTTTCTTTACAGCCTGATAGCAGTCCATTAACCTGAACACAGCATGTCTTRGAGATAAACCTTTGACAGTAAACATTCCTATTCAGCTTCAGATTTTCCTGCCTTCWGCATCATCCCCTTACCACACTCAGATCTCCTTGACTCCCCAAGAAGTGTCTTATCTACCTTTGATATCTGTAACTTCTACCTCTCCTAGAGGTATACAAACAACCATAGATAAACTCATGTACCTTTCAGTTATCCTAAATCAGCCCTTGGAGCACTCTGATCAATGTTACTGCTCTTTCTTAACCTCACTGCAGTTTGCTGTTGCCTTTCTCACAATGAAATATACCCAATCCCAATWTGGGATTTTTACTCCCTGCTTTATGAGACCAAGTACCTCTCTAAATAGCTCAAGATTGCTGTATCTTACTSGAAGTGTGCCTTGCTCATGGCTGACTACCACAGAAACAATCTGTGCATTTCTCTCCCTCACTGAATCTAATCTCTTCCCAAAAGCATTAGTTTTTATTATTTTTCCAAATTGAATCTGATAGTTTTTCTGATTGTAGTGCAAATGTTCTCTGCTTTTCTTTAATTCTTCTGTGCTCTACAATGTGTCCTCGCTGCCATTCAATTTGGTACTACTTCAGAGATCAAAAAACCTAAATGGTGGCAAATTCCCAGCAGTAACCAGAAAGTTTCATAAACCCAGCAGCATTTGTAAACTGCCACCAAAGACCTGGTTTTTACTGGAGTCTCTCACCAACCACAGAAACATCACATTCTCACCTAATAAATATACACCATCTCTGCATGCATTTGGCAAGCGTGCATCAATTATCTCTGAGCGTGCAGGTGATAGCCATCCATCAGAAATTAGATTAAAAAGCAACTAACTCCCCATAATTCACTAAGACACAACACTGGATGGAAGAAACAGGTGGTCAAAATGAATCCAACCTAGAACTAAAATCCCAGCAGGGRCAGAGGGCTCTGTACCACACATCAGAGTGCTCTGAAACAGCGTTCAAAGCTCGAAGCTCAAATTTGAATAAGGTTCCATCAATGCCAGCAGAAATGGACAGAAGGAAGGAGGTCACTCCCCTGACACTTTGCCTACAAACCTACACTATTTGTTACTATTCCTCAGCTTTTCCCGTTAACAGTTTATGTTGTAGCTCTCCCCAGAAACAAGGTGAGTTTGGTTTTTTTCCCAAATTACAAATCTGCCGATCTCACTAGTTAGAATTATCAACACGATGAACCAGATGTTTGCCTTGAGGGAGGGAAGACACACAAAAAATTACACTGGAACAAGTGACATGTAAGAATTCCTTAATTTCATAAATAAATATGAGAACACCGTATGCTGCAGAATAGAGACCAGTAATCCACAGCTGCCAGAGATACACTGGAAAAAACTCCTATAGCTCTGGAGCAATTAGAACAGAACCTGACAAACACAGCAAACTTTCTTTTTCCTTTCAAAATGGCATGCACAATAGCCATGCAAGCTAGACTTGCCTGCTGACGTCAAAAGACCAGACCTCACTTAAAGGCTTGAGCAATTTGCAAAGTGTTGAACAAAACCCCCAAGATTATCACAGYTTGAGTATGGAAATGCAACACCCAGGTGTGAAAGTTAACGCTTCTRACCTTGTGTCATACGAAGTGCAGGGACTGTGCAATCCTACTCTGCAYGCTGAATTCAACCATTTAGTGGCACTGAGCAATCAACATCCTTTCCAATAACCATGCATAAAAAAGGAAGGTACAAGACAAATTAGGATGTAGAAAGGGCAATACTACTATTAAAAACATAAATGAGTATGAAGTACTAAAATTCTCCCATCTGCAGCTAACTYACTCCAGGTTTTCCTGGGTTAACACTTGCCAGGATTACCACTTGGCAGCCTCCTGCCTGTCATCAGCTAAACTGTCATCTAATAATCCAAATTTGAAGGACAACAGAGCCAAAAAAAGCAGATCAACAAAGAAATCCAAAGTTCAGAGGAACTACTTTTTCTACTCTTTGTGGTGTCCAAGCAGCTTGGATTGCCTTTTCCCTACCATCTCTACCCGAGAAACATATCCCACTTGCTATTGCAGCCATACTCTCAGGGATGTGTCTTTACCTGCCCACCTCCTTTCAGGGGAGAGGGGTGGTAAAAGAGGGTGGAAGGTATTGTAAAGAAGCCATGGCACAACAAATTGGGAGAACATGAAACATCTCCTGACACAAACCTGCAGCATGGGTCCCTTTCATTCAGTCCTTCAGTCAGCCATGTCAAAGCACTTACTTCACACAGGGAAACTGAAGCTATTTTTAATTTGCAATGCGAAGAGCTGGGGATCCCTACTCACTGTCTAACAAGACACGGTTCCAACAGCAGCAAACCTGCTTTATCTAGTGTATTTCAAAATACACCTTCAAGCTGTGCCTAATACATCTATTTCAGTAAGACACGTTATTGAAGACAGTGGCAGCAAGCAAGAGTAATTTCTCGGAATAGAAGAGCAAGTTAACTATAGGTCAATGTACTACTGAAGATGTGTAAACCAGAAAAAGTTCCTTTTCCATAAAATCGTTAGAGGGGAAAAAGAAAAAAAAAAAAAAAAGGAATGATTACAGTCCTCATTTATGGCCATCTAGGAATGGTTCCCAGTGAAGAGAGGGCATCTGAGGTAAGTATGACCTGGCTGCTCCAGTCAGTGTCCGCACAGGACTGAATACTGTCAAAAGCTAAACAACTTGGTCTTTCTCTTAGCCTCCTCTTTGCTTGTTTTTCAACACACACTTCTGTAGTACCTTTTTAAATACTGAAATAGTTCTCACGCAGCTGAAGTGCTGTAAATCATGAATGGCACATCAGCATTGTACCATGGTGACACTGGTTTTGCGTACRTATTAATTCCTTAAAGGCTATTAACTTCTCCATAAATAATGAGATAGCTCACTTCCCTAGGCACTGCAGCAGCGCAACCTGCTTTAAGGAGTCAGTCAAACCAACCATCCAACAGAAGGTGGAGCAGAATCGTCTTTTCCGTATTTGGGAGAGTTGCGTTAGAGCTCCTTCTCTCGTTCTCTTCTATATATTATGCTCACCTTCTTTTTCCTCWAAGGAATCAAAAGTATTAATCTGTCTTTCCTGTTCTCTTTCCAATACGAGGTTTTATATTCATTTCCACTGACCCCCTAAAGCAGATCAGAAGGAAAAGGAATTCTTCTGTAATGTTGAAGCTGAAACTAAAGCATAAGATGTAGGAGCACCGATGGTAATCATCTCATTTTAATGAGGGAGAATGTGACCCACCAGCCTCAGTCTTGGCACGTCAGACTGTGTCCACGCCGTACAAGTTAACCCAGATCAGAAAGCAGATTACAACAAAGCATTCCCCTGGGCTAACACTTTGCCCTGTCACACCACCAGTTACCAATGCCCACTGCCCTGGTGCAGCACATTCCTGCTTCTCCCAGGACACCGTGAGCCCAAAACTGCTGCACATCCTTACATGCTCTCATAATGCACAGCAGCAGGACCATGCAAAACAGGATCCATCCGCCCAAGTTTAACTGCTGTGGCCACATGATACTGTCATGAGAGCAGATGGAGTACGCAGGAACTGGACTGGGCCAGGGTGGTGCGTTCGTGCCCGTTACATGGGATGCCATGAGCAACCTACGCTCTCTTCCCAGTACAAGCTCCCAGCTGACAGCCAACTGCACCTAAACAGCACAGACACAACAAAGTTGGGCTTCAGCCAACGTTTCAAGTGGAGCGTACAGATAGATGTTCCCACTAGGCTTTGACCAGCGAAGTACATCTCCTGCRTTACGCAAAGCCTGCCCTGGGTGTTTCACGGGAGCAGCAGTGATTCCAATGTGCTCAGGGCCCTCTGAGCCTGCAGTAGCTTCACACCATGACCCAGTTACCAAATCTGGGCAGACAGCTTTCAAGGAAGCTTACAAGGACCAGGTTGTTCCACCATCTTAGCTTCCYTCACAAAAAGGCATTGTGGGCCACGACTTAGGTGTGGTCACCAGTATTTGCTACTATTATGTGCTGTGTGTCGAATGACACCACATCTAAACTGGAATTTCATGGCGGCAAGTGCAGCTGATCACAAGGTTCAGAAAGGCTTCTAAGACACTAAGTTATGGGGAAAGTAGCAACTGGAAAACAAAAATCTCTACAGCCACATCAACTTTTTATTTTTTTTAMATCTGTTAGCCTAATCTAGGTTTACAAAACTGTAATTTGAAATATTTGTGCTCTCATGCCTTTGCTGATCAATAGAGAGGAGGTTAATGCTGTTCAAGTGAGGGGCCACAGTTACGACATCCAACTGTCCATGCTGCAAACACAACAACAGTTTGATAGGACAAACTAAACTACCTATTTCAAAACAGTGATGGCAGAAAAGCAACCTCTTCACACTCCCCTCTGCAGCCCAGACAAAATCCTCTTTATGCTCCCAAACAAGAAGAAATCCTTTTACAGTTTATGCTCATATAATTCAAGAATTGCACTGCTCAGAACTTCTGTACCAACCTGAGATGTACTTAATCAAATTCCATTTTGAAGTATTTGTAACAGAAGTTTTGTTTTGTCCCCAAAGAAATCAAGTCAGTTGTGAAACTACTTAATAGTTAMTGTAATCACTTACAGGACATTTTTATAAGACTGTAAGTGAATACTGGAGCTAAAAGTGATTTGCGGACAATGGATCAATTCTTAAATTTGATTTGCCACTGCTGCACACCAAAAAGCAGTTCTATAAACACCACACACAACACAAACYCTCCTGTTTAAAAAAATCAAAGGTAGTTCCACAGTGTCTTTAAATCTGCTAACTCAGACAAATGTTGTGACTGTCACCATGAAATTAACTACTACATAAAAGTAATTACTAGTCATGCAGTATGTCAAATTTATTTACCTGCAAACAAATATTCTTCAGCATTAAGTGTTAGTTACTCCCTTTTATAACTGTATTTTGAAATGTACATCCCTCCTGTGGTATCAATGAAACCAACAAGCACAAATCATGGATTTGCTTCTTACACGTTAAAGGTGGTAGGAAAACAAAGCAAAACAGTTYAATATTTCCCCCAGGGGTGGCTGAGGTGGGGGGACGAGACGACACACTACCGATAAGGTGCAAGCTGTATCTGCATCAGCAGCGTCCTGTCAGCAAAATATATTAAAAGTGCCAGAACGTTTATATGCTTGATTATGTGTTTTACAAAGAAACAGACATAAGTCCTACAAGTCTCTAAGAACATTTCGGCAACTGCAGAATTTCACCTGGGGGGGCGGGGTGGGGGGGGGTGCATCTGCAGACAGCTCCCTACATCTCTGCAAAACACGACTGCAAAAAAAAAAAAATCAAGTCCACAAGCGCTGCACAGCCACCTACACACGCCAAATGCCCACGGAGAGAATCACACCCCCGTCGGCAAACACTCAGTGGTCCGCAAAGCGGAGCTGGGCTGAACAACGCGGCCGCAGAAGACAAGGGGAGAAAATGGGGGCGGGGGAGGTGGGAAAATGGGGGGCCCTCGGCTACTTTGCTCGCCGTTGTTTCAGAAATATCACAAATCACCCCCCAGCCGCCCCCACCGCCGTTTCCCCGGGGGATGCTCGCGCAAAGGCCGGGGCAGGCCCGAGGGGAGCCCCCCGCCCCGCCGCCCTCTCACCCACCGCATCCCCGGGGAGCCAACAGCTTCCTGTCCGCTCCGGGCCCGCCGGCAGCACGGACCGACCGGCCGGGGCCGCCTGCAGCCCGGCCCTTCTCGTCCCCCACCCCGCCCGACCGTGCCCGGGGGGCGGCGGGGCAGCCCCCGCGCGGGGAAGGCGAAGGAGAGCGGCCGCCCCCTTTCCCGTCCCTTCCCTTCCCTCCCGGCCCCGCACAATGCGGCCGCGCCGAGCAGGCCCCGGCCCCGGCGCTTCCTTCCCCCAGCCCTTCCCAGCCGGGGAGCGGGTCACTTACATGGCTGAAGCCCGGGGAGGAGGCGGCGGCGGCAGGGAAAGGGAGCCGGGGAGGGAGGCAGGGGAAGGGGAGGGAAGGGGGGAGCGAGCCAGCGAGCGAGCGGGGGAAGGGGGCGGCCGGCGAGGCGGGCGGGCTCTGCGGCGGGCGCCGAGCGAAGGCCTCACTGGGCTCCCGGCAGCCGCCGCCTCCTCCTCACCATCCCCGGGCGGCGGGGCGGCTCCTCCTCCCCCTCTCGCAGGCGCTCGGCCCGTGGGGCTCGCACGCCCGCTCCGGCTGCCGGCTCGCCTTCCCCGCCGCTCCGCCCTGCGAGGCCGCCCCTCGCCTCGTTCCGCCGCCGCCTCCCCCCGCACCCCCGGGCCGCCTTCCCGCCGCCCGGGCCGGGCTCGTCCCGCACGCGTTTCCGCGGCGCTCGCTCACACCCTGCGCGGAGCGGCYGCTGGCTCCCGCCGCCGCTTGTCCCCCGTGCCGAGGGGCCGCCCCGCTCCGCTCCGCGCCGCTCCCCGGACGGGGTTCGTGGCCTCGCCACCCTCCGAGCTCCCACAGCGCGGCGGAGCAGCGCTCGCCAGCTCGGCCCCCTCCGCCCACCCGCCGGCCCGGCCCCAGGCCCCGGGGGCGGTGTTTCCTGGCCTCGGGCGGCCCGGTGTTCCCCCTTCCCCCGGTACCGTCCCGGCCCTGGACCGGGGCGCTGGGGGCGCCGTGCCCCGTCGAGGATGTGGCCWCTCCTGACTCGGCCTATGAACCGGCTGCCTGGAGCATGGACAATTTCATAGAGTCACAGGATCAAGTAGGTTGGAAAGACAGGTCATCGAGTCCAGCCTATGACCGAACGCCACCATATCAACCAAACCATGGCACTAAGTGCCACATCYAGTCTTTCCTTAAACACCTCCAGGGACAACGACTCCATCACCTCCCTGAGTAGCCATTCCAATGTCAAGCGCCCTTGCTGTGAAGAATTTCTTGCTAATGTCCAACCTAAACCTCTCCCGGTGATGCGTAAGACTGTGTTCTCTCAYCCTGTCACTGATTGCCTGGGGAAAGAGACCAGGCCCCACCTGGCTACACCCTCTTTTCATGGAGCTCTAGAGACTTATAAGATCCCTCTTGAGCTTCCTCCTTTCCAGGCTAAATAAATACCCTCAGCTCCCTCAGCCGCTCTTCTTAAGTCTCTTGTGCTCCAGACCCTCCATCAGACTGGTTGCCCTTCTCTGGACAAAGGGCAACCCCAATAAACAGGGACTCAATGCCACCATAGGCAAGAGGCCCATGCAACCCCAGCATTTCAGACTCTAGGAAGAGCCAGGCTCCTTTAAATCTCTTGGGGTGCTTCCAGCTAGCTCCCCCAAAATCATGGGATGCCATTCCTGATTCTCTGAGCTCAGAGCTTTCCCTTGCTCCCATAAAATACCAGATGATTAAATGAAGAGGTATCACAGTACCTTGGTGGATACTCCAATATTCCTTTCCACAGCAGGCAGGTTGCATTGAAGAATTGCCCATGGAGGGCCCGGGGTAGTGATTCTGGATGCTGCACTTGAGACCATCCTGTTCTCATAGCACGAATAGCTCAAAACATCACAAATTGCTTCAACCATTGCTTACAGCATCCAATATTTTTGTAAGGTTTTTGAGAGCCATTCTGCTCTAAAAAACAATGTTGTGGAAACATCTTTAACAGATTAACATTATTCCGCCCTTCCACTATCAAAATTTGTCTTCTTTGGTCATTAAGGGATTTTGCTTCTTCTCAAATTGACAGTGCCATAAACATTAACTGGGCTGTAAGAACTGATTGGATTTCTTCAGAAACATACGATCACTGATGATCACATTTCTGCAATCGGAAGCTGGCTGGAATTTAGGAAACAGCACATCTTCCCACAGTTTTGCACTGTTGGCAACATACAAGTGCACAAAACGCATTTACAGCAGTAAAGCTGGGGAATACAGCTCTGCCTTTACTAAACTATTTGATATAATAAGAGGCTTTTTTACCACATCATTTTGATGATTGTCAATGTTTACTGAAATTCACTTTCTTCTTCCGTTTTGATCAGTTAGGTCTGACTGATTGTATCTGTCATCAGGGTTCCTGAGAGTCAAATGGATTACTGGATTTTGGATACACTGGTGTGCTAGAGGAGCCAAAGACAAGACAGGAGAAAATGCTTCACTCTTCTTCATGAAGGTGAAGAAAGAGTAATGCTTCCTTTCCCACCAATGTACAGAGCAGTTCCTCCTGGCAGAGCAGCTACACCAGYGTGGGATTTTCTGTGAGTCACCTTTAGGTTTACTGGGGCATATTTCAGTACAGTTTTAAAAATGTACCATTCAGGCAACTTAGCAGAATAAGCAGGCCCCGTTGTACTGGCCCAGTTACCCAGGGCAGAATGGAATAGCTGTAGGAACTCTAAGATGTAAAGGTAATGGAAAGGAAAAATGTGGGTTTGTGATTGCATTTTGACCTACCATGCATTACTTACAAAATACTTAGTGTGTATTAAAATGTAGGTTGTTCTTAAAGATGTCATTTTAATTTAAAATTAAATTCATCATCAGTGTGCAAAGCTTGCAGGCAGCTCAGAAGATATGCATTTTACTTAACAAAAACGAGGAGAAAATTAATTTATCAACTGATTTTGAACCTTCMGGCTGTTGCTACATACAGAAGTAAAGAGTGAATGGAAGTATWGGAGTTCACTGGCTGTGAGACACTTCTGTCCAGGCAGGGGGATCTCTTGTAATAGATCTGATTTCAGGAKAGCTTTTATGCCTTCCTGGCAAACCCTGTCCTGATTGATAAGCTCCAGGCTGCATGGTGTGCAAGGTCATTAGAACTTCCCCCTGCAAATGAAGCAGCAGTTTAAAAAATAATATCATAGAGTAAACAGTTTTCTGTCCTGAAGAGAAGAAAATAAACGTCCGTTGTTTGCTAGAAAGGAAGTACAATTAAAAAAACCCTCCAAATTTCAACATGAACATATTGTTTAGATTTGCCGACTGTTGATTTACCATGATGAAAGACAGGCCCAAACTAGAAAGTTTGGATCCTGATCTGGATCTGACATTCCCCAAATCTGAGGGGGAAGTGTGATTCAGAGTCTGGAGTAAGGGCTTATCTCTCAAACACAGCAAAGTACTGTGGATAAAAATACCCAGGTGAAGTAGGAAGTGCCTGGTCTGCAACAACAAGAGTGACTTTGTATCAACAATGAACAAATGCAGCTTTTTTTTTTCTTTGAGAACAATGAATTCACTCAAGAATTGTTATAAATACAAACAATGTGGGTTTTATCACTCAGCTATCATCAGTGGGATTATAGTCTATAAACCCTAATTTTCAGGGAAGTCCCTAGATTTCCTTGAGCGCTTCCTCAGATTTCACATCTSTTAACTCAAGTTTATTAAGTGCTTCAGGATAAGGTGCATCAAGTCTGCCTTGGTATTACATTATCTGAAAATACTGAATGTGGGAGTTAGTGGCAAAGAATGGATGATTTCCAGACAGTGTACTGACACCATGCCAGAAGAGCAGGCACTCCTCTTCTCATCCATTTTTAACACCTATATAGGTAACAATTAATKCAGTGTCACTTAAAAAAAGTTATTTTAAATTGTTTAAATTAGGAAGCTTTGGATAAAATTACCCAGTCAGGCATAAGAAGAAAAACTAGCATGATAAGATGAAGTGGAATTACTAAGCTAACTCCCAGTAGAGCAAGCTCTGTTCMATGATTTCAAATAATGACAACACCTCTGTGGGTCAACAGTGAATTTGTTCTTCCCTTTTTAAAAGGTGGGCTGTACTCGGACATACTCAGAGGAAGAAATTAAATGACATCTTATTAGAATTACAGAGCTGGTGTCTCAGTCTAGGCATTAATAGCTTTTGAACAACTCAGTTTTGGTCTCAGAGGAAAAWCTAATTCAATAAAAATAGAAATTAGAAGTGCTTTTTGCAGCGCCAAATATAATAAATGTAATTGTACTTTTAAAACTGAATGAATCCAATGTTTGAAGGTGCATTTCTCAATAGCAAAACAATAGCAGGCTCTCTGGAAAAAATAATATAGTCATGTTGWGGGTTTAGGTTTTAGAAATTCATCTTGAGGCTAAATAGATGTATGAGTTCATTTGTACTTCCGTGATGAATTTCSTACAAGACTAAGTATCAGCTGAACTGGTAATGTGAAGAGCAGCACTGAATGCTTGTTGCTTTTCCTGATGGCTTGCTAGGAGTCTTGGAAGACGCTGGACAGGAGACCTAGCTTTGATTTCCTGCTTCTGTTCCTGATCACCAGGATGCTAAAACTGGACAGCCCTGGGATATCAGGATGTCAATGCTTTTGACTCCAAAGGGAGAGCAGTACAGTCCTCTGCCAGGAATAATGATAGCCATGACAAGGGGCAAGCATGCTGTAGGGGGTTTGGTATATAAACAGGAACTGAACTCGTTTGCATAGAAAATGTGCTAAATAAACCATACAAAAATAGCAAATATATCAGTTCTGTGCCATACCCTACTGCAGTCACTTTTATTGTTACAATAATAACCAAGAGTCCCAGTCTGGATGAGGCACTGATAGGCGCTGTAGAGGCACATCAGAAAACATGGGCTTTGATCTGAAAGKACTGAAGAATGCTTCAAACTGCTGCTTTCCTCCCTTCCTTGTAAAGTAACACATCATGAGTTCTTAGATGAGGAAAGATACCCCCAAAAAAGCTAAAATTCTGATGATCTCTGTGAGGGAACATYGTGATCTTAACTATAACCAGATAGGCAAATCCTCTGAGACTGAATTACTGACATTATTGGCACATATTAAAAGAAAAATAAAAACTTTCAGGTTCCTGTTGCATTCGAAACCYTCACACACCCAATGTTGGTTATGTTCTTCAACTAAAATTACAGAGCTAAGAACGCTGTGGGCCTATTAACATGGGTGCTGTTTCAGTGGCTGATTACCCCTGCAGATCCCCACATGCAGATCTCTGTGGAAGGAGCAGCAGCCACGATGCAGGATGAGGGCACAGGCACAGCAGTGGGTTCTTGGASCACTGGTTCTGGCCACATGCATCTYCAGG